TTTAGTAACTTTTAGTACAATTCAGTAAATTCTGGTTCAATTTAGTAAATTTTGGTACAATTTGGTAAATTCGGGTACAATTCAGTAAATTCTGGTTCAATTTAGTAAATTTTCATACAATTTAGTAAACTTTGGTACAATCTGGTAAATTTGAGTACAATTCAGTTAATTTATGTTCAATTTAGTAACTTTCAGTACAATTCAGTAAATTCTGGTTCAATTTAGTAAATTTTGGTACAATTTGGTAAATTCGGGTACAATTCAGTAAATTCTGGTTCAATTTAGTAAATTTTCATACAATTTAGTAAACTTTGGTACAATCTGGTAAATTTGAGTACAATTCAGTTAATTTATGTTCAATTTAGTAACTTTTAGTACAATTCAGTAAATTCTGGTTCAATTTAGTAAATTTTGGTACAATTTGGTAAATTCGGGTACAATTCAGTAAATTCTGGTTCAATTTAGTAAATTTTCATACAATTTAGTAAACTTTGGTACAATCTGGTAAATTTGAGTACAATTCAGTTAATTTATGTTCAATTTAGTAACTTTCAGTACAATTCAGTAAATTCTGGTTCAATTTAGTAAATTTTGGTACAATTTGGTAAATTCGGGTACAATTCAGTAAATTCTGGTTCAATTTAGTAAATTTTCATACAATTTAGTAAACTTTGGTACAATCTGGTAAATTTGAGTACAATTCAGTTAATTTATGTTCAATTTAGTAACTTTTAGTACAATTCAGTAAATTCTGGTTCAATTTAGTAAATTTTGGTACAATTTGGTAAATTCGGGTACAATTCAGTAAATTCTGGTTCAATTTAGTAAATTTTCATACAATTTAGTAAACTTTGGTACAATCTGGTAAATTTAAGTACAATTTAGTAAATTCTGGCCCAATTTAGTAACTTTTAGTAAAATTCAATAAATTTGAGTACAATTTAGCAAATTTGAGTTACAATTTACTAGAATCCAGAAAAATTTACTTCGAACGTAGTAAAATTGACTCTTTTTAAAAATTATAAAAAATTGAAAAAACTTTAGGGTTTACTATAAAAAGAAAAAAAAATAACTTGCTTTATATTTTTTCCGTCCAGACAGAAATGAGAATACAATTATAAATTTGTCTTTCAATTTTTTTTAAAAAGTACACAATTATTGTTGGCTTTTTAAATTTATTTTTGGGATAACGCATAAAAATTGGACTTTGGAGTCTTAGTTAATTTCCCAATCTCGATGACACTTGACTTCGAAATTAATTTCACGAATCACGCATACGTATTTAAAAGAATTTTAAGCAAAAAAAAAAAAAAAAAAGAACAACATTTTTACCCTTATGCTAAATTAGAATATATTAAGTATATATGAATAAATACACAATTTATATAATTGCAAGAACCAAAGAAATCACGACAGTCACGTTTCGTGAAATGCTTAGATTGAACAAAAATTTGATATGGTGAAGATAAACTTTTGTTATTTGAAACTATTTAAAGTTTCTACACCCTCGATTCAAAGGTTATTTTTATTATACTTATTAAAATTCAACACGGAAATTTAATTGGAATATTATGAAATTAATTTTTGCTATTCGTTTTTCATTTAGGGCTATTTATTAAATATTAAATATTAAATATTAGAAATTAGGGATTTATTGAAAATTTACGAAGTTGAAGTCCACAACGTTTATCAACGAAAAAAATTTATTTAATACATTCAAGTATTATTTTTAATTTAAAATTTAATTGTAAAATAATTATTATCAAAATATAAATATCAATCTTTTTTTTCTAAATATTTTTGTGTCAATATTGTTGCGTATTTTTAATTAATTTACTAAGTAAACAATTTTTTTTCGTTGATCAACGTTGTGGACTTCAACTTGGTGAAAATTTTAACTCTGGGCGGAAATTTTACTTTTTGGACTCAAAAGTAAAATTTTACTACCAAACTTTACAAATTTTTCAATTTTCATTTCAATTTTAATTGAAACAGATATTAATTTTATTCTAAATTCAATAAAAAATACACCATTTTTTCACAAATAAAAATCGCATTCAATAAAAGAAGGAAAATAAAAAAATTCACTTCTTTAGGTAAAATCCTTGAAGAGTTTACTTCACAGAGAACAATTACGAAATAATGCTATAGTTGATTTTTTCCAACTCTTGTTATTAAAACTACCAATTACCAATACTAATTGTATTCTTCACTTTTCAGAATCGATTTTAATTTTAAAAAATTTATTCCCTATTATCTCTAAATTCTTTACTTCGATTGAAAAAAGAAATTATTGTAATTTACAATTTACAGGTAAAAAATTATTATTTTCAAGCTTTTGGGATAAATTTGGTAAATAAATTTAAGGTATGTACCAAATACGTTTTTTAAATTAGTAAATTTGGCTAATAAGTAATAAATAGTAAATTTTACTAATTTTTGCTTTTGTATTAGTAAATTTGATTAATAAACAGTAATTTCTATTGATTTTTGATTTTGTATTAGTAAATTTGATTAATAAACAGATTTTTCTACTGATTTTTCTTCTCAAATAGTAAATTTTACTAATAGATTGTAATTTCTTTCAATTTTTGCTTTAGAATCAGCAAATTTAACTAATAAATTGTAATTTCAAATAATTTTTGTTTTCCAATTGGTAAATTTCACTTGTAAATAGTAATTTCTACCAATTTTTGCATTTCAATTAGTAAATTTGACTAATAAATAGTAATTTCTACTAATTCCTGTTTTTTAATTATACGAAATTTTACTAATAAATAATAATTGCTATTGATTTTTGCCTTTGAGTTTGAATTAATAAATTTTACTAATAAATAGTAATTTCTACTAACTTTTAAGGTCGAATTAGTAAATTTTACTGAATTCTGCTTTTTATAGTTACAAAATTTTACTAATAAACAATAATTTCTAATTTTCGCTTTTAATTTAGTAAATTTTACTAAAAAATAGTAATTTATACTAATTTCTGATTTTAAATTAGTAAATTTTAATAATAAGTAATAATTCGTTCGAATTTATCAGTAAAGTTTACTAATTAAAAAGCACAAAATCAGTGACTAATTCAAATTACTAAACATTTTTATTGATTCAAACTTAGACAGTAGGAAAATACTAATTCCTTTGGTAATTATTTTACTAATTTTTCCTCTAATTCTTCCACTAGTTTAACGAATTTTTGGGGCTTTTATATATTAATTTTGTCACTGCTTTTTTAATAATTTTTTTAGTAATCACTTTACTAATTAATAGTAATTTCTACTGATTTTTATTTTTTAATTAGTTAATGTATTACTTATAAATTAGTAGAAATTACTATTTATTAGTAAAAATGTTTACTTATTTGAATTAGTGACTGACTTTGTACTTTAGAATTAGCAAAATTTACTAATAAATAATAATTTCCACTAAATTATTAGTAAATTTTAGTAATAAATACTAAATAGTCATTTTCACTAAAATAAGTAAAAAATGTACTCATTCAAAGTAAAAAATCGCAGTTACTAATTTAAATTAGTAAACATTTTTACTATTTCAAATTTAGAGAGTAAAAGAAGAAAGTTTGGGATAAAAATACAAGAGAAGAAAATAGAAGAAATTAAGAGAAAAAACGGGAAAATAAAAGTAAAAATTAAGAAAAAAAAATAAATAAAAAAACTGTTACTTACTGAAAGAATTAGTAAAATAATTGCTAAAAGAATTAGTACTTTTCTACTTTATACTAATAAATTAGTAGAAATGACTAATTATTTGTAAAGTTTACTAATTCATATAATAAAAAATCAGTAGAAATTACTATTTGTTTGTAATTGAATTAGTTACTACAAATTTCAGTCATTTTTACATGACCTAGAAGTGAATTTAACTAATAATTAATCATTATTAACTATTTCATTACTAAAATATTACTATTTCAATCAGTGACTGTCTTTTTTTCTATCAAATTAGTTATTTTTAACTAATTTATATTTAGAGAGTAGAAATTACTGTTTATTTGGAAAATTTACTAATTCAAATGCAAAAAATCAGTTACTAATTCAAATTAGTAAATATTTTTACTATTTTAAATTTAAAGAGTAGTTGGAAGTAAGTTTCGGACTCTCTTAATTTGAATCAATTAAAAATTGTGGTTTTAACTGACAATCAGTGACAGACTTTTTGCTTCTGAATCAGTTAAAAATAACTGATTTTCAGTGAAAAAATAACTATAATTTTCAGTAAAAAATAACTGAAAAAATATTTAAACTTGACTATAATTGAATCAGTCAGAAATAAATTTACTGAAACTTCAGTTATTTTTAACTGACAATCAGTTATTTTTAACTTATTGTCAGTATAGAAATATTACTATTTGAATTAGTGACTGACTTTTTGCTTCTGAATCAGTTATTTTTTAACTGATTCAAATTTAGAGAGGATAATAAATACGAGAAGAATACGAGAGGAAAATAGAAAAAATTAAGAGAAAAAAAAGGGAAAATAAAAGTAAAAATTAAAAAAAGTAAAAATTAAGAAAAAGAAGAGTAGAAAATAAGAAAAACTCTGTAAGAAAATAGGAAAAGAAATAATAAGAGAGGAAAATATTTGAAGAAAATAAGGAAAGAAACTGCAAGAAGAAATGAAGAGAAGAAAATAAGAAAAGGAAATAGAAGAAGAAATTTATAGAAAAAAATAAGAAAAAGGAAATGAAGAGAAGAAAATAAGGAATGGAAATATAAGAAGAAATTAAGAGAAGAAAATAAGAAAAGGAAACATAAGAAGAAATGAAGAGAAGAAAATAAGGAATGGAAATACAAGAATAAATTTAGAGTAGAAAATAAGGAATGGAAATATAATAAGAAATTAAAAGAAGAAAATAAAAAAAGGAAACATAAGAAGAAATGAAGAGAAGAAAATAAGGAATGAAAATACAAGAAATGAAGAGAAGAAGCATATTAGAAGAAGAAGATAAAAAAATGTGGATTCGGAAAAAGAGGACATACCACGAGGGCCATGTCGGGCGGTTTGGAGCCCTGAACGTGGAGAATTCTTGCACCCAGTTCGAGTAGCTTTCTCCTCAGCCTTTTAACAGAGACGCCGAGCGTCTGCATGCAGCGACGCCGCAGCTTCATTTGAACGACGCCGCCAGGTTGACGATGAACTGGAAACCACTGACCGTCAGCTGTCAAGCTGGCATCACACTTTCGACTCTATACAAACTCTCTTCTTATTCTCTTCTCTCTTCCTCTCTCACTTCTCTTTTCTTCTCTCTCTCTCTCTCTCTTTCTCTCAATTCTTTTTATCTCTTGTTGCGGGGTTCTCCACTTTCTTCTTCGTTGCACTGTGATATCCAAGAAGCACCCAGCGGGTCGTTACTCTCGTCTTGAGGGACGATGACCAACTACTACTTTGGTCCCCGCAAAGAAAATAAGAAATCACTAAAAGTCCTTCTTTCTTCTTTAACTCTTTAGAGTTTTCTTCTTTTTACTCTTTTCTTCTATTTTTGGAATGTTTTGCAGTAATTGTAAAACTTTTGCCGCTAATCTTTAAAAAAACTCTTGCAGCAAATCTTGACTTGCAGCAAAATAAAATGTAAATCTAAAATCTTCTGCAGCAAATGTAGAACTTGAAAGGAATGCAATATAGCGAGGTACGTAAAATTGCAATAACACCGATTCTCTATTTACAAATTACAAGAAAACAAAAAAAAAAAAAAAAGTAGAAAATATATTTCACAATTTCTATCTCCCTCTCACAAAAGAATCACATGGAATGAGGCTAGTTTGGTCAAATTTCTCTCTCTCTATTCATCCGTCCTAAATTTTCTTGCGAAAGCCAAGAAGAGAATGTAGTAACACACCCGCGCACAGAACAGAAAAAAAATAACTTCTTCTTTTTTTTGATTTCTTTCAATTTTGCATTGAGAGAGCCTGACGACGACGATGACGACGACCAAAAACAACACACTCTCGGAATGTGAATAAAAAAAAAATTCTCCCCGCGATTTATCGTGTGTATATGTGTGAGTGTGTTTGTGTGGGCGTCTGACTCGCGCATCAGACGTGTTTGAAGTCTAGCGGCAGACTGAATTCGTCTGGTGGCTGTCAGACAGCAGCACCGTCGAGTCCTCCCGCTACTGCCCCCTCCACCGCCACTGCTGCTCGAGAGCCGTCTTGAAGGCCCCCCTCCACATGGCGAGACACCCCCACCAAAAAGTGAGCGCAACGCTGCCTGCCTGGCACACGAACAAGCTGCGTGAGTGAGATTGGTCACGCATGCATGCGCATATGCGGTTGCACGAGTAAAATTGTCGAGTGGAAGGGGTGAAAAGGAGAGACAGACGGAGAGAGAGAGAGAGAGCCAGCCGGTTCTGCCGGTGTGTGACGTGACGCGACGCAAAAATCCTCGAGTAGTGGTTGACGATGATACCGACCAACACGAGACACATTCTCTCTATATGTACACACAAATATCGAGGATAATCAAAAATTCTCACTTCAAAAATTTATCAGAAAAAAATTTTTTTGAAGTCTATTTAGTGATACTTGCTGATACTACTGCATCATTACTGTAGGAGAAAATTACAACTGGATTTAAAAAAAACCACTAGTGTTTAATTATTACTATTCCAATTTGTAAATGTCTATTTAAAAACTCGCCGTCTGCAAGTTTCGGTTTCGAAAAAGAACATTCAAGATAGTTCTGAACGTTAAAGCAACGACATTATTAAAATTGAGTTCCAAGCTTGGGTCTTAGGTTCGATCCCCCTTGAATTAGAATTTTTATTTATTCAAATATACTCTTTGCGGGCCATTATATATATTTTACTAAGGGATCATTCACATATTACGTCAGGCAAATATGGAAAATTTTTAACCCCCCCCCTACGTCACATTTTGTTGCATAGAAATTTGTAATTTTTACACAGGACGTCACAAAACTTTAGACTCCCCCTCCCCCCTAAGCCTGTAACGTACAATATGTGAATGATCCCTAAGGGAGCGTTCACAAATGATGTCACGTTTTTGGGGGTGGGGGGGGGTCTCTACTAAACGTGACACAATGCATTTTTACACGTGAAATTCCATTAGTAATAATATTTTCTAATTGTAGGTAATATAAAAATATTTATTAATATCTTGATCAAGTGCCTGAATTTTTGCTTTTGAATTGGTAAATTTCACTAATAAATAGTTTACTCAATAATTTATTGGTAAAATTGACTAAAAAAAGGCAAAAAAAGTCAGTCACTATATATGGAATTAGTAAAATGTTTACTAATTTGAATACGTTACTGATTTCTGCATTTAAATTAGTCAATTTTACTGATAAACAGTAATTTCTACTGATTTTTGCATTTAAATTAGTAAATTTTACTAATAAATAGTATTTTCTACTAATTTTTGCTTCAGAATTGGTAAACTTTACAAATAAGTAGTAATTTCTACTAATTCTTGCTGTTGAATTAGTAAATTTTACAAAAAATAGTAATTTCTACTAATTTCTGATTTTGAATTAGTAAAGTTAACTAATAAATTGTAATTTAAACTATTTTCTGCTTTTTAATTAGTAAAATTTACTAATAAATAGTAAAAAATAGTAATTTTTTTCCAATCAGTAAATTACACTAATAAATAGTAATTTCTACTAATTTTTGCATTTTAATTTGTAAGTTGGACTAAAAAATAGTAATTTCTACTTATTTCTGATTTTGAATTAATAAATTTTAGTATTAAATTAATATTTCTATCAATTTCTGCTTTTGAATTAATAAATTTTATTAATGAATAGTAATTTCTACTAATTTTTTTCCAACCAGTAAATTACACTAGTAAATAGTAATTTCTACTAATTTTTGCATTCTTATTCGTAAATTTGACTAAGAAATAGTAATTTCTATCAATTTTTGCTTTTTAATTAGTAAATTTTACGAAACAAATAATAATTTCTACTAATTTCTGCTGTTGAATTAGTAAACTTTAGTTATTAGTAGTAACTTGTAGTAATTTATTAGTAAAATTTACTAATTCAGAAGCAAAAAGTTAACTTATTTCAAATTAGTAAACATTTTTTAATTATTTAATATTATTGAATTTAATTAATTAATTAATTTAATTTAATTAATTTAATTTTTTAATTATTATTTTACTGATGAATAGTAATATCCACTAATTTCTTTTTAATCAGTAAATTTTACTAATAAATTATTATTTCTACCAATTTCTGCTGTTGAATTAATAAATTTGACTAATAAACAGTAATTTCTACTAATTTTTGCTTTTGAATTAGTAAACTTTACAAAAAAGTACTAATTCAAAAGCAAAAAAAGCAGTCACTAATTACAATTAGTAAACATTTTTACTACTTCGAATTTAGAGGGTAGTAATTTTTTCTATTTAATTAGTAAATTCTACTAACAAGTAGTAATTTCTACTAATTTCTGATACAGCATTAGTAAATTTGACTAATTAATAGTAATTACTACTAATTTTTTAATAAAATGAAATAATTTAAAGCTTTTTTTTATAAATTATTTTACAATTTTTTCCCTACATTTACTATTATTTTTATTAATTTTTTCACTATTTTTTTACTCAACTTTTTAAAACATTATTTTACTAATTTTTTTTGTAAATATTTTATCAATTCTTTTACTATTTATTAGTAAAATATACTAATTCAACAGCAGGAATTAGTAAACATTATATTTAAAATAAATTAATAAAAATAAATAAATTTATTAGTATAATAATTTAAAAAATGTTTACTAATTGAAATAAGTCAACTTTTTGCTTTAGAATTAGTAAAATTTACTAATAAATTTATAGAAAATACTTCTTATAACTAAACTTTACTAATTCAAAACCAAAAATTCGTAGAAATTACTATTTATTAGTATAATTTACTAATTCAAAATCAAAAATTAGTAGAAATTACTTTTTATTAGTAAAATTTATTAATTCAAATGCAAAAAATCAGTCACGAATTTAAATTAGTAAACATTTTTACTAATTTATACTTTATAGAGCAATGGACGAATTAGTGAAAGAATTAATAAAAAAAAATCTGTACAACGAAGAATTAGTAAAAAGTTACTAAATGAATAAGTAAAATAATTAATAAAAGAATTAGTAAAAGTGACAGTGGATGAATTTATACAAAAATTAGTAAAATTATTGAAAGAACTAGTAGAATTAGCAGAATTAGTAGAATTTGTAGAATTACTAAAATAATTAGTAAAATGACTAAGAAAATAAATTATAAAAGACATTATAGAAAAAAAGTAGAAAAAGTATTGGGATATTTAGTGAAGAAATTTAGTGGAAGTAGTAAAAATATTTGTAGAAGAATTAGTGAAAGAATTCATAAAACAATTATTCATAAAATTAGTGAATTACTAAAAGAATTGGTTAAAGAATTGTTTTAAAAATTATTGAAAGACTTACTTTAAAACAATTAGTTAAAGAATTAGTAAAAGAACTTTAAAAAAAAGAAAAAAAAAGAAAAAAATTCCTCAAATAATTAGTGTGTAGAATTTGCTACATTTTTTAACAATAAAATTTTACTCCTAGTGAATGGAAAATTTAGTAAACATATAGTGTATTGCAGTAGACTTGAAAAGAAGTTAATAATTAAAAAGAAGAAAATTAAATGAATAAAAAAATGCATTTACTGTTTCTAGAAGAGCGGCTACCGTGTGTCTCTCTCAAAAATAATGCATCCTAAGTAGTAACGGTCTGTCTGTGTCAGACATGGAATTTACTCTCGTGCATGATTTAGGACGTTACTACTTTTGGACAAGTATCGCACTATATACCTAAAAATACACTCGCAAATAAAACAAAAAAACACTTTTCCCCGTTATTTCAATTTTTAATTAATTCGCCTTTTTTTTAAAATTAATAATAAAAATATTTTCCCAACATTAAAATAAATAATTATTTTTTAGTAGTTTTTCTCAATTTTCTCATTTTCATCACTCATACACTGAGAAAACAATATATTTAAATCAAAACAATAAACAAGAATAAAAAAATACTAATAATAGATAATTTTTAAAATAACAAAAAAAAAATTAAACTCAATAACTTCTATTAATTGATAAAAAAAATATAAAAAAAAATGAATGTAATAAAAAATGAAAATTTCTATTCGAACTATCGATTCACAGAGAGGCCAGACGAAAAAAAAGCAATTTTCTTTAAAAACTCGAGTCAAAGGAGGCGGGGAGGGGGGAGGGGACGATTCTGGCAAGCAAGGTGCGTTTTTACGCATGTATTTACGCATTCACTCGTCAAATAATTCTCGTCGTCGGATCTCCCAGCCGGTTCCATTAATTCGAGGAGCCTGCACTCCACCCTGACGAGGGTGAAATTACCCTTGAAATTATAACAGGTTGATATCAGCTTCCCATCGACTGCTGGACGCGCCCCTTTCAATCGACTCCCTCGCAAACTTTTGCGACACTTATTCAAAATTCAATGACAAAAATAATTTACTATACACTTTTTTTTTATTAATTACTATTAATAAATAATTTTTATATAATAATTGAAAATTTATTTTACTAACTACTATTCTCTAAAATTTAATTAGTAAAAAGTTTACTAATTTCAACAGGGTTGCAACAAAAATTTAATTTTATAATATAAGTAGAATTTAAAAAAAATTTTTAATTTTAATTAAAATTTAATATAAATTTGAAAAAAAAATTGAATTTGTTTTTCCCTGATTTCTAGACAACATTTTTTCTTCTTCCCTGACCCCAAAGAATATTCTGATTTACTCTATAAATTATATTATTACTTCTTTAAAAGTAAAATTATTCAAAAACATCAATAACTTCATTTTTAAATAAATATTTAATTATTATTTTTCCATAGGAATTAAAATTCTTTAAAAAATTCAAATTAAAACTTTTAAAATTCAGTAAATTTTTAAGAATATTATTATAAAACATTAAATTTCCATAAAATTTTTCAAAAGAAAAAAAATTATATTTACAAAAATTTTAATAAAATCCTTCGCAAGAATTTTAATTATTTTTATGAGTAACACAATTTTTCATATCAATTCAATTATTTAAAAGAATG